ATTGTCTGATTTTCGGATTCTCATAATGCTGATAACATTTCAGATTTTATTAATCATGTTGTTGATAATTGGGATCTTGGTAAATACGGAGACTTTCCAATTATAACAGACAATGCATCAAATGTCGTTAAAGGTGTCAAGTTATCGGGGCATGTTTCTATTGGGTGCTCGTGTCATAGACTGGATTTGGCTCTCAAGAAAGGTATTTCAGAAACTCCAGAAGTAGCAGAAGTTCTCAAAAAGACCAAGAGAATAGTGAAGAAAGTAAAACGTTGTTCACAGATAATTCTTCCTCGTAAAGATGATAACGGTATGAATGAAGCAAAGTGTTTAAGAAGTGATATTGATGTGAGGTGGTTTTCCAAATTGGATATGATTAACAGTATTATTTATCAAACATCAAACATCAATCAGGCCATTAAAAAATATTCAGAAATTTACAAGGACTCCAAAGAAAAGTCTATATTTATTGAATTGTATACATTCACTGATACTGACATCAGAATACTAAAAAATGTTGCAACAGCAATCCAGACGATGAAAATCTCAAGTAATGAACTTTCGTCTGAAAGTGGACCTAGTCTGTCATATGTTTTTGGAGAAATAGTAACATTAAAAGGAGAGTTGAACCGTCTTGATCAAAGTATTAGTAGAGACCCTGATGTATCTCAAGAATCCATTAAAGTATTTAAACTTGATAATGAAATTTTGTCGTCAGATAAATTAATGACTCTGACAGAACAAGATCGTGAACACATCATTGTGGAAAAGTTAAAACCAATGATAGACGTCAACAAAGTGTCAAGACTGTTCGTAGAAAATCTCATCAAATCAGTGTCAAGGTATTTTGAAAAAGGAAAGTATGATATTAGAAAGGACTCCAATATAATGGTTGCAACCTATTTGAACCCAGCAATAAAGTACCGAATGTTTCAACCGGAAGATAAAATGATAGCCAAAGAGTTCATTACCAAAAAATTCGAAGAAAATATGATAGTAGAAACAACTCAACAACCAACCATTTCTGACATGTCTGAAACTGTTATTGCCTCGCATCCAACCGATCGTTTTAGCCAATATTCAACTTATGTTAATGAATATGAGACTGGACTTGAAGGTCAGTTATCTTCTTACGAAAGAACTGCTCTGACTCATGATTACAAAAACCCCTTTACCAGCTTTTGGATTAATCACAAAAAAGAATGGAGTGATTTGTCTCGTATCGCCATTAAATACTCTACTATTTTGTGTTCAAGTACTCCTTCTGAGAGGTTGTTTTCATTGGCTGGTAATTATTTGCGTAACAGAAGAAACAAAATATCACCCACAACTCTATGTTACATGGCATTTATTCACACTTTTACAAAAGATGAAAATCTTGATTCTTATTTGGAACAAAACATGGAATAAATCAAAATTCTGATTATCTCTGAATTTACCATTTATTATTATTTTTGGTTCAACTCTTTTATGTTATGTTATTGTATTTTTAAAATTTTAATAAATTAATATTTTACATTTATATTAAACAGAACATGCATTTTTTATTAAGGACTTAAAATGTGTTCATTTAAATAATAAATAACCAAACTTTAATTGTCTGAACAACGAAATGTTTTATTAATATAATGACTATTAATTAACAAATGACAATTATATAAATAATTTTATTTGCAATTTAAAATATTTAATATTAATGGAACAGATTATATTTGTTTTCTTTGTTTTGAAATTGTTTGAGGTGT